CTCATGGTTCATCCAGGATATGCGAGAATTTCTTTTTTAAGGCTGAATAATATTACATTGTAGGTATATACCACATTTTGCTTATCCATTCATCCACTGACAGACACTTGGGTAGCTCGCACTTTTTAGCTCTTTGTAATAATGCCGCTATGAATGTGAGTGCATAAAATCTATGCAATCTTGATGAACAAGACGTCATTTCAGCCCATTACCCTGTATGAATGCATACCACACACACAAAATCTGGAGCGGAAGTCCAGAAGGAGAGTGAAAAAGATGCTTTATTTCACCGCTTTTTTTTTTCTTGGTAGCATGTCTTTAAAACTCATTTTACATCCTGCTTTCACCAAACTACTTTCCTTTTTATATGCTTTACTTTTCATTAACCTAAAAAAAAGTGTGTGTTTTGTTAAAGCAAAGTACCCAGTGAATTATTAAAGTAACTATGAATCAGCAATAATGGTGTCTACTTTAAAAAGCAAAAATTTCACAGGGCATATAAATAGAAATAGGATATTACAAAGAAAATTGCAAGCTAATCCTCCCACTACCTAACAATAGTAAGTTCTTTTAATTTTTCTCATCTGAAAGAAGATACTGAAAATGAGCTGATAATTTTGACAAACACTGAAAATGATCAAAAGGTTAGGAAATAACAAAAAAAAAAATCACAAGAAAGAAAAGAAAAAAGTCTTAAGGATAGCCATCTGATATAACTCAAAAAGTGAAAGAGGCTCGGGAGAACACCAGTATTTTCTTGTGGCAGGAGCTCATCAAAATACAAAGATGTATGGCCTGATTGACATACACACAGATACATCTGGTCAATACTATTGGCTGCCATCCTGTGAAAGAAAACCAAAATTAACAAGCAGGAGCTACTAAAATACATTTAGTTGTTCTGTGGTTAAACAGGCATTCTTCAATGACTTCACTTGCTGCAGCCCCAGGCTAAGATGGTATTTTCAGCAGAGCAAGTAAAACCCCAAAAAGAGGCTGGCTATTTCTCAGTTCAGAATTGTCAAAAGAAAAAGGAAAATGGTTCTACCATACTAAACAGGTATTTACTTCAGGCCTATTGAATAACCTATGCAAGAAACAATGAGCCAAGAGGAAAAATAGATGGACTCTTGTTTTGATAAACTAGGACGATGGGATTATTCAAAGAGCATAAATTTCATCTCTGAGATATTTCAGAGATAAAAGCACCTAAAGCCAGAGAAAACCAAAACAACTTTTTAAGATTCCTTCAACCCCTGATCATGTCAGGAACATCACCTTGTCTGAATATTTTAGGTATAAAAGAAGTTATAAACATAATCCAGGAAAACAGCACAGAAAAAGTCATTTCTTTAACACTGTGATCATAGAATACCTCCCAGAACATTTCCCAAAGATAATCAGAGGACCTCTAGCATCAGATGAAACCCAAGGATCCACAGGACAATCACCAGAAGAAGCAAATTCTACATGAGAAGCTCTGGGAGTTCCATCCACTGGATCAGAATTTACTCATCCATGCTAACTACTTTGGTAACACCCCCGACTCTCCTTCCTGGAAGGAAACAATGGGGTGACTTCAGGACTAAGTAGAGTTCACTCTCATTCTTTATGCACTTAAATTAATCTTAGTTGCTTCCTTGTAGTTCTTACCAGAGATGAGTGCTAATATAAAAGGTCATTTGCCCAAGCTGAATTTCCACAATTTTCTACAATTTCATAAGCCTACACACATTCATTCCTGAACTTGAAAAATGCTTAACACCTTAGGACAGGGCAGAATTCTGTGAAAAGCAAAAAATTTCTCTTCCACAACAATAGAAAAGACAAGTGGATCATACTCAAAAAAAAGTTTCATACTCAATCTTTAATAAGCACTATGTCATCCTTAACAAAATTACTTGACATTTCAATTTTAGTAACCTCTCTCCACAGGCCTTAAAATTTTCCTACTTTATTAGCTAAGTATGTTAAAAGACATTCTTTAGTAAAGCTAAGAAGCAATAAATTCACAAGTATTCTGAAGGTGATTTATCATCACAAAACTGAAAGAAAGCAGATATTTCTACAACGAGTCATTTGAGAAAGCTTCGTGAAAATCTTCAACATGGTCACAAAAAAGAATATTACATGAGTGAAATGTAGCAACACATTTCTATGTGCAACTATCACTGAATATTCACTTGCAATTTCAGTTGAAAACCTTTCTACGAAATAATTTCTAGGACTATAATTTGGCTTTACAGTAATATGAAATTTGCATATTATGTTATTTGGAAAGTTAAAAAAGAGAAAAATAACTGGCATTGGTTCTTTAAAAAAAAAAAAAGGTGTATTCATGCTTAGATGATAGTTTCCCCAACTACACGTGGATTTTATTCTAAATTCCATTAGGTTCCCAAAGCAACTGGTCATTTGTAGTCATTACAATGTCAACCTGTTGAGGGTTTTGTATAATACTCTTTCTACAAACCGGCTAGACTTCCTATGACCACGGTTTTGCATAATAACATAGACAAATCACTCAAGGCATTTTAAGCTGATAGAAACATACTCAGCCTAAGAAACTCAAAACTATTACAAACAAATTTTCCTTTAACTACTGCCTTTAGTTCTCTAGAGTCAAATACAAAATTTCTCTTGGTAATCAAGGCTAAAATGTGATACAACTGCAAAAAGAGTGGTTTTTCTACAATCTCCCCAAAAAGAAAAAAGACATAAGAGAAGGTGAATAAATGTATAACCCTGCCAACCCTAACACAGAATTTTGAAATGATCAAATTGACTAAAACTACATTACCATACGTCGGATTAAATAACGAAGAGAAAGGGGCGATCCTGAAGTCCCACTGCCCCTAAGGTTGTCTAAGTCCAAGAACAGAGGAACATTTATAAAGCTGAGGTTCTGCTCACTGGTCTATCCTGCAAAATCTGAACTGCTAAAAACACATCTTTCAGTTTTTCTTTATTGTTAATTAGATAATTTCACATTGCTCTGTGTTTTCTGTAATAGAGAGTAGAAAAGGATAAATTAACATAATAAAATGTAGAAATGTCAAAATGATCCCAATTAGTATAATGGTGGCAGGTTTATCTAAGATTCAAAAAATAATTTCTAAGTTGGGCTATTAAGAATACACATTCTTTTAAGTGAATGCCTTAATCAATCAGTTTATTTCTTGGGGGACTTCAGATCAGCTTGTCAACACAAAAAAGTATTCTTTTCAGGCTTTCCAAGACTTCCAGTAGCTCATCTTTACCAGATGAGCCTATTTAATGGCAGCCAATTTGCAAACATCAAATTTAAGATTACAGCTTCAGTAAAACAAGAAGAAAGAAATTAAAGTTCACTTCAAGTATTTATGTTGGCATAGATCGAACAGACTACTGAAGAAAAGAGTGACAACAAGGGCTCCATTTTGCCATCACTCATGTGCTGCACGCACCAGTTTTCACATTACTTTAATCAAGAGACAGACATAATGAGTCTATCATTTAAAGTATGCAAATTCATTACTCCTTCTTTGTGAAAGTTTGACATTTTGGCTCATGTCACGTATTTGCAAACTAAGTATGCATTCCACTAAAAGGACAAAGAACAAAGAAACTAGAGTAACCTAGCTATTTAAGTTTATATTCTCATAAAAGAAGAAAACAACTAAGTCAGTGCTTGAAATATAAGACTGCTGAGGTCACTCTTATCTTCACTAAATCTTCAAGTTTCCTACAAAATGTTAGGGAGCATCCTTATTGTCTTATAAACAATTACTCAGAACTTAACTTTCTAATTGACTCCACAAACAAAAGCAGTTTAAATAGCAAACAATGTCTAATTAACTAACTTTTAAATTTTATTTTATTTATTTATTTGAGGAAGATTAGCCCTGAGCTAACATCTGCTGCCAATCCTCCTCCTTTTGCTAAGGAAGACTGGCCCTGACCTAACATCTGTGCCCATCTTCCTCTACCTTATACGTGGGACATATATGTGTCCACAGCAAGGCTTGCCAAGCGGTGCCATGTCCGCACCCAGGATCTGAACCGGCGAACCCCGGGCCACCAAAGCAGAACATGCGAACTTAACCGCTGTACCACCGGGCTGGCCCCTAATTACCTAACTTTTAATCACAACAAAAAAAATACTTCTATCATGTACACAGATAATCCAATAGATACCCTTCAGTAAATATAGTCATTTTGTCCTAGATGCATGGAAAATAAAAAGTCCCATAAGAAACAAAAATAAATTATTCAATTTTACACTTTTATCATAATTAGAATAAATTTTAATAAACTAATTTCACATAAGCCATTTTTCAAAAAAAGTTACCAGTTCCAAGTTTTCATTTTTTGATCACAGCATTTCCTTGTTCTTAAAGCTTTATATTTGATAGCTTTGTAAGAAAATGTAATGAGTAGTAAATATTAAAAATTTAGTCAAAAAATTACTCTATCAGTGAAGGCTGAGGAGAGAAACTAATGTTTAGGGGTTTTCTAAAAACATAGTAACACAAATATGACAAAAACCTTACTAGAGAAAATAATGTTCATCTTTTCTAACACATACATTACACACTTTCTATTCAAAAACTCTCAACGTCCACACATCTAACATAAAGAGACAGGGGTGACGAGCTAACTTTCGCTCACCTGGCATGTGCCAGGCACTGTGCTAAATGCATGACGCTCACGGCAATCTTGGCATTGAGGGATTACTCACAGCATCCTGTCCAGTGAGGACAGTTGTTAACCCTCTAGTACATATGGCAGGGGGTGGGAGAGTTTGAGGCGCAAAGGGGTTAAACAATTCACCCAAATTCACACAGTCAGTGACAGAGCTGTAATTCAAACCCAAACAGTCTGGCTCTGTATCTTACCTCAGAATGACTATATTACACTGTGTATAAAGTACACATGGTACACGGCACAAGGCCTGACACCCAGTAGGTACTAAATAAAAATATAAGTATTATCACACTATTTGTCTCTTCTTTACTTACTCTCTGATAATTCTGGATTTCCTTTCAAATTCATCATCTTTGGAACTGAAGGGCCATACACATCCACATCTAACAAACCAACGGCCTTTGACTGTAAGAAAACAGAATTTACCATAAGATTATTCCCACTCTTCATCAATGATAAAGCACACAGCAACAGTAAATCTGACTATAGAAAACACAACTTGCAAAATATTCCAAAGTCATAACCTAACTTTCAAAGTAACAGTAAGGTAAAAGAGCATAAGTTGCTTAGGTAAGTATTTCTGGTTGGTTTATTAATTTCTTCCAGATAACTAACTAGACAAATCCCCTGCATACGCTTTACACACTCTGGTTCCATCACCCATATGTATAGTCTCAAACAGACTAAGACTTTTTGATCTGAGAACTAAAAAATTTCACAAACTAACAAATTACACAAATTATGTGCACAATGTTAAAATAATTATTTATGGGGCCAGCCCAGTGGCGCAGCGGTTAAGTGCACACGTTCCACTTCTGCGGCCCAGCGTTCGCCAGTTCAGATCCCGGGTGCAGACACAGCACTGCGTGTGTGGCAAGCCATGCTGTGGTAGGCGTCCCACATATAAAGTAGAAGAAGATGGGCATGGATGTTCACTCAGGGCCAGTCTTCCTCAGGAAAAAAAAAAGGAGACTTGGCAGCAGTTAGCTCACGGCTAATCTTCTGTGCAAAAAATCAAAATAAAATAAAACAATGATTTACAATGGCAAACAAAACCCCAAGAAGACAGAGCATTAACTTTTGGAAAGGACATCTAACACACCAAACAATGCAAAATGAAAAAACAAATTACGGAAAGGAAACCATAATTAAAACAAGTGAGAAATTCTGATGCAGATCTGGTATGGAAACGCTAACAAGGACAGTGGCAGACATAATACACAGGCAATCTCTTACGTGCAAGGTGCAGTTAAACACCCAAGGTCTTCTAAAGAACTTACAAACAACTAAAACTGTTTTCTTTGATGACCCATCCAGCTGCCCAAGGGCAGAATATCCTGACTGGTCTCTTCACTAGCTGCCAGTTAATCAGCAGCTTAGCCACAGAAAGGAAAACAAAATTCATTATTCCCAAATAAGTCGTTTTTTTCCTTCTCCCCCCTCCTCTTTCTCCTTTGATAGATTAAATCAATCTGTTACTGGGTTTTCTCATACACAAGCAAAGAGAATGCTAATAGTAACTGTATGCCTTTGAGTTACGTTTCACCAAGACTTACAACTCTCCTCCCTCTCTCCCTGTACCTGGCAAGATAAAACACTAAATCTCCCAAAAAATTCTTTAAAAAACTAAACAATCCCTCATGTTCCATGTTATCTACCTATTTCCGGACACAAAGTCACTTTTTAAACCTCGCTGTCTGGTTCCTATAAATACACATAATAAGGTACATTCAACATTTATGTCCCTAACTTTCTACCGACTCAAATTGGAGTTCTAAGAGAATCATTTAATGTCCTTGTGTGACTCACAGAGACTTAAGGGACTAGGGATTAATATCTGCCTCCACCAAAATGTCAGCTTACTGTAAAATAAATGAGAAAACAGGAAGGACATTTTACCTTTAATAGAAGGGTTAGTATATAAAGTTTAGTTTTAATGCATGTAAGTATTAGCTTTAATAATGCATGTAAGTATTAGCTTTAAAAAGGCAGGAACATTCAGGGCCAGCCGAGTGGTTAAGTTCGCTCGCTCCACTGCAGCGGCCCAGGGTTCCGCTGGTTCGGATCCTAGGTGCAGACGTGGCACCGCTTGTTAGGCCATGCTGAGGTGGCGTCCCACATGCTAGAACTAGAAGGACCCACAAGTAAAAGTATACAACTATGTATTGGGGGGATTTGGGCAGAAAAGGCAGGAAAAAAAAAAAGATTGGCAACAGTTGTTAGCTCAGGTGCCAATCTTTAAAAAAAAAAGGCAGGAACATTCCAACCCATTTTAACTCTTTTTTAAACCACAAACAAAAGAATTTAGCTGAATTAAAATAGAATTAAATTTACTATGGATAAAAAGATTTTCAAATGAGGGAGCCTAAAACCATAAGAAACATGGATAATTGTTAATATTATCATGTAAGGGTCTGCTAATGCTGTAACCATCATCCTAGAATTTCACCTTTTCCATATTTTTTTCTCATGACACATAACAAAACTAAAAACTACCGCAAAATAATAATAAATGCCAATAAAAACAAAAAATATCCCAAGATTCTTTTTCCTTGCTTTCATGTATATTTATGTTGGTTTTACAATAACTTACAAGTGTTAGGTCCCAGGTTTCATACTGATCTTCTAAAACTACGTGTCAAGTAAAATAACTTAGTTTTTCAATTTTATGTTTTGACAAAACGAGAAAACAAGTAAGTGGGTGCTTGAAATATACAGTTGGCCCTCCGAATCCATAGGTTCCGCATCTGCAGATTCAACCAACAACAGATGGAAAGACCTACAAGGGTTGCATCTATAGTGAACATGTAGTATGGACTTTTTTATTCTTGTCATTATTCCCTAAACAATACAGTATAACAACTATTTACATAGCATTTACACTCTATTAGGTATTATAAGTAATCTAGAGATGATTTAAAGTATATGGGAGGATGTGTGTAGGTTATATGCAAATACTATGCCATTTTATATAAGGGACTTGAGCATCCTTGGATTTTGGTGTCTATGGGGGTGGGGGTGGGTAAGTTCTGGACCCAATCCCCCTCGGACACCAAAGGACGACTGTAAGACTGCTAGGGTCAATTTTATTATCACTAGATCTTCAGGTTTCCTTCAAAATGTTATGGAGAATCTATCATCTATCTGTCCTGTCTTCTAGAAGAAAATCATGCCTGTCTAAAAGCGAAGACTTGGCATTATGGCTTATGACAAAACTGAAAATTTGCCCTAAAATTTGCTGTGGTGGGAGTGGATTTTACAGATACCTAGATGCTGCTAATAGACATTATCATGTAAGAATAAATAAGGTGGAGAGATTACAAAATTTTAGAGTTCCTCTGCTTCCTAGAGAATGGAACTAAGAATAATGGAGAATGGTCTATGTTTTAGGGTCTCTGCATACTCTCTCTAGTAGTAGTCACCAAGTCACCTAAACTTAGTACCAACACTTCCATATATCAAAAAGGAAACAGAGGAGAGGAAGGTATGAAGATCGGGAAGAAGGGAGAAAGAAGAAGGGAGAGAGGGACAAAGGCAGGGAAAGGGGGAGGAAGAAAAGGATGGAGGGAAGTTAATCAGCAATGTTATACTAAAAACTTGGAGAAACTAGGCCTCTACAGCCCGCTTGTGGACAAACCATAATCTCTAAAAACATGCCATCCTAAATCACCCAAATAAATACCTAGATTTCCCCTGGTTATACCTCCCCATTGCTTAAATTCCTTCTGGGTACCAGGCACTCTGCTAAGCATTTTACTTATATTTTTCATTGACTCCTCATAGCAACACTGCAAGGTGGTATTATACCTACTTATGGATGAGAAAACTGAAAACTAACACTCAAAGTGACTGTTGTTTTTTTTTTTTTAGTATTCTTTCTTAGAATGAAGCAGAATGGGAAATTAAACACAAAAATACTGACCTCATAAATCTCCACCAGAACTTTAACATGATCTGACTACAAAAGACTTAGATATAGAGCAGGAGTCAGCACACTTTTCCCTAAAGGGCCAATCAATAGTAAATATTTTAGGCCTTGTGTATCATTTGATCAGAGACTACTCAACACTACCATTATAGCACCAAAGCAGCCATGGACAACATGTAAATGAAGGAGCATGACTGTGTTCCAATAAAACTTTATTTACAAAAACAGGCAGTATTTGGTCCACAGGTCATAGTTTGCCAACACTGATTTAGAGAATAAACTTTTTCATGACCAAGTTATTCAATCACCCAACAATGTAATTTTGGTAGAGCCAAGAGCAGACAGGACATAGTCACCTCTTTTAGTGTCAGAGGTGCCATCTCAGTAAAGATTTACTTCCACATCCTTAATTGGCTAGTTTTTAAAAATAACAAGGAGCACACTTTTCAGACTGTTTCACTGGGACTAAGTTAGCATGTCTTGCTTAGATTTTATACATCATGAATAAAGTCAGTGTCCAATAAATAGAAACACAAAAGCCTATATTAATTAACGCACATTGCACTTGGAATTGGCATAGCTACCGAACTGGTAAAATTACCATAGCTACAAAAATTAGCTTAAACGTATTTTCAAGTCTAAAATCCAATAATGCTCAAAAGATGCCAAATAAACTTCATTTGTTTTTCATAACTTACTCCATTACTTTTAAATAGGCTCCCATTTTAAATGTATAAATAGCCTTTGAATTTAAATTTTCAAAAAGAAAGTTTTACACTGTAGGAAAATAAATGAGCAAGGTGGAGGCTATAAATAAACATATGCAGCTAGGTGTCTATGTTTTATGAATCCTTTCTGCCTCACTCCTCCTAAAATAATTATATTTAGTCACAAAAGCTCCAATTAGGATTTCCTCATCTTTAATTTCAGCCAGGCTCAGAAGAATAATCACTACAAAAGCCTCACCAAACATACAACAGATAAAGAAAAGGATTATTAGCAAAAATGACTATAAACCTACTATTGTAAAGTGTGATTGCCATCTTTAATGTCAGCATAAACTTAACCTAATATGTAGGTACCTAATATTACACTCTTTTTTCTGACTCTCCTACATTACTCAAAGTCTAGCAAATGACATAAAACAAGACTGATCACACCCCAAGATACTATTTAGATTTTTGGATTTGTTTCTTTACAATTCATAATACCTTGTGAAAGCTGTAAAAGGTGGCAGAATTATTCAGAGTGATTATACTGTTTCATTACTACTGCATGAAAGCTGCAATTTGAGAGCCTACAAGTTCTATTTTTTGTGTGTTGGATTTCAAAGGCACCAACAACAGTTTTGATCCTGCTTTGTTCTTCCAACAGAAATTATGCTAAAGAAGATTGTAAAGCTTCGTGACATGTTCCTTTTATCCATGTCATCTGCTAATAGAACCCATCAAAACAATATCTTAGAGTGGTCCCACAC